ATATATTTTAAACTTTAAATATAGAGTATCTTTCATTTAATGAATCAGAATTTCAAATCATAATGATGATAACTTTTGTAAAAATAAATTATTCTTTCTATGTTTTATTACATTTTGGTAAGAGGTGTTAAAATAATTAGAGTTTTAAGATTCAATTCCTTTAACAATTTCTTGCTGTAACTAAACCTGATGTTTGATTATACCAATATTAAGACCATGATTATAATTAGATATTAAGCATTCCACATTTGTCGAAATCTGAGTGCATCACTCACACTTAAAGGTCCCATGTCATGGCCATTTCTACTGATCATAATTCCATTGTTGAGGTCTACTAAAATAGATTTATATTGTGCAATGTTCCAAACTCACATTGTTGGAGCTCCTGCCCCCCCCTCCCCGTGAGCCCAGTGGCCGTCTGCGAGACAGCGAGACAGCGAGACACAGCGAAACCCAGCCCGAAACACACACACACACACCCGCAGCCTGGCTGGGAGTTTGTGTGTGTGCCCAGGCTGAGTTCCGCGGTGTCTCGCCGACCCCACACCAGTGAGCCAGCTCACACTGTCCCGCTCCTCACAGCAGCGAGCCTCGCAACGTCCCGCCGAGTGTGTGTGTGTGAGGAAGTCCGCGGATTGGTCCAAACGTAACGGCTCCGCGGATTGGTCCATACGTTACGTCACTATACCCGAAATACGTCACTATACCCAAGAAGTAAACAATGGAAAAAGAGAAATCTCCAACGAGGCGTTCTGGGGCAGCATAGACAGGTATTTTCTGTGTTAGAGTTTTACTCGCTACAGGGTGTAGTTTGAGGGTTTGTAACTCTGCAGACCGTTTACATGCAGAAAAACCTTCATAACACACAAGGGGACGGGTAAACCAGAAAAGCATGACATGGGACCTTTAAGTATTAAGCACTATGACAAAAAAATGTTGAAAAGACCTTAGGACCAATATTTGCATGCATTAATGTGATCAGGCTACATAACTGGGTGGGTCTTTTGTTAAACTGGTGGAAAAACCGAGACGCACATGCATGTGGGCCCACGTACAGCACACCATGAGCGATGACTCACCTCCTGGACCATTTCCTTAATGAGCTTGTTTGCCGCTCTTAGATCTTCTGGTTGAGTGCTGTTCAACAAGAGAGACAGCGTCTACAAAAACAGGAAAGAGGAGGGAGAGGAAAGAAAGAGGAAGAGGACTTTGTAAACCCTTTGTCCCTGGATGATTCCACAAGGTGGTCACTTTAAAAAGGGATTCAATGGGTACAGCATTCTTCTAATATATATATATAATAAAGACCTTTCTTTTGAAACCCTATCCAAAGTGCCTCCTCATCACTTCTCATACCTTGGATTTCTCCTCATCCTCAAAGATGATGTTTTTGGCTCTGGCTGCTGGGGGTGGGAGGGGCTTGTCCTCAGGAAGTGCAGGATCTACCTTCACAATGCCTGGAAGAGAAACACGGACCCTCTTAACCTCAGATGTAAACAGCTCAGAGGGGTCTGCGTCACCTGGGACTCAGCTGCTCCATGATGTAAGCCTTTAAGCGATAATGATGCCATAACATTGTTCTCCACACCTCTTGAAGATCAGGCTACAAATTACGTTGAGGATTGTTTTCACATTTCTTTTTCAGTCCCTAAATGGTTGAGCATCTTCATACCTCTCCAACTGCTTATCTGAGCATGTTCGAAACCATTCCTTAAGGTCGTCCAGTGTTAAAAAAGTATTATTAAGGCTGTTCTTATGCAGAAAATGTTTAGAAAAAGCTCCCCAAAATCTGTCGATAGCTAAAGGAGAGTCCAAAAGTTGCACTTTTTTGAAATATCATTGTTAATATATGATGTTATTTTATGTTTTTCATGATTGCTTTGTGTTTTTTGATACCCTATTTTCTTAATAGCCAAGCTAATGATTTGATTCTCTTGTAAAACACTTTACGCTGCATGTGTTATGAAAGGGGCTGTATGAATAACGTTTATTTATACGATTATTTTTATAAATAAGCAATTAATTAAGAAAGTCAGTTGCTTTCTGTCAAAATGCAAATATATGGTGCATTCACACCCTACATAAGTATGAATTACACTGTAGTAACTTAGGAGAATTATTCAACTACACTCAATGCAACTTAGCATGACTAAGGCAGTAGTCCCATGCATGTGGGTCACCGCCACAAAAAGGAGAACTGATACTTCCTTGTACAAACTACTATTTGTAGGAAAATATTGGTTACCAAAAAAACACATTATCAGTTAAAATGGAAACTAATAAAAGCATTGATAAAGCCTTGAGGTGGGAACCTATTAAAAAACACACTAAATGTACCGTGAAGAGAATGAGAAACCTGAAGATAAAGAACCGTGTCCTTTATCTTGATGGCTTCTCATTGTGTTCTTGTTGCACTCACCCTGTTTTTTCAGCATATGATAGGCGTCTGCTATCTTAGTCTCATGAGGCATCTTCACTGTCCAGCTGAACATTATTTCTATCACCTTATTCTTCACTAGCTCTGGAGCCCGGGTACCCAAATACTGCAGAGAAGCAGGGAATAATGCAAGGTTAGAGTCAAATGTGTTTATCTTTAACTAAATATAGTTAAGCAAACACCGTTTGACTTTATTATTCCATTACAGTGTCCTAATGATCTTAGATGTACAGTTGCAGACATATAAGCATAGCAGTATAAATAACAGGGATCATTACCTTGGGTGACACCACTTTGATGAGCTCATTGAGAAAGCGAAACTTTCCCACTTCAATGTGAAATCGCTTCCCACAGCTCTTCATGCACGTCTCCAGAACCTGGGAACATTTTAGAGTTTGTTTGTTTTAAATTTAAACGGACAAGCCTTAAAAAAGAAAAGTGGCTTCTAATGTTACTTTACTGTTCAAGACCTTTATACTTCATATCTTACCAGAAGCGCTTGCATAGCCTCCCATTCCTGAGGAGACTGGACTTTGTGGGCCAGGAGTCTGGTTGCAAGCTGGGGACTGATAAAAAACAAAATGTACACTTATACCTGTACACAATACTGCAAGGCAACACATTGAATGTTCCACAAAATCACTCTGTACAACTATGCATAGATTATATCACCAAATGTATGAATTATCATGTGATTTATAAGATGTTTTTCTACAGAGCTGCAAAACTGGAATAAACTCAGTTATTATCATTTCAAACAACAGCTGGAATATTGCTTGATTCTGCATTTTGCATATTACTCTGGTGTTATATCCTCATCATCAACATCCTCATCATCATCTCACCCTTCTGGATCATTGTTGAGCTGATCACAAAATCCCTTGATAATGTCCCAGTCAGTGTCCTTATTCAAAGGGTTGGTGGCCTTGTCTATGTGAAAGGAACACATTAGGCTCTGCATCAGCTGTATATACAAACTTTAAAACTGCTGCATGTGGTTGCATTTTCTTTAACAACAACAAATATGACAAAACACGAGTTTCCTGACTTTCCATATGTGTGATTGCTCTGCATAGATGTGTGAAGTCTGTCAAACCTGGGTACTAACCTTTTACAGGTAGAGGTTATTCACTTTATTAAGAAGCAAAGTTTGATCTTATCAGAAGCCTGTGATAACCATCAGCTGATGTTAGTTGTGTGCAAACTATCAGTTCTCTGGTTGTAACAGGAGTTTTGTGATTGCATAAAATGGGTAACTGGGGAACTGTATAAGTATGGTTCCTGGTTCTATGGTTCGTTCAAGTGGCTTGTCTGATCTTTGGTTGGCAGCTACCTAGCTGGTTGAGTTAGTTAGCATTAAGCTTGCCATGTTTGAGCAGCCTCCCCAAATTCAAGCTGTCAGCAGGTAACACAATCTGAGTCCAAAACGCTCATTACAGAAACGGTGAATCATTATCTGGCGGAGTTTGTTCCTTCTCGAGAACTGCACTTTTTGATTTAATGACATTCGGTCTCTTGGCTTTATATCTTCCCTCGGGAAAATGTTATGGCTGACAGCCGCACATTTAAAATGAGATTATGTCTCTGTGCATTTTAACAGCGTATCGGCTATCACTGTCCTTTCAAAAGTGAAACTGATATGGTAGAGTATATTGACTTACTGATGCGAGACTGCAGGGTAGCCTCATCCGGAGGCGCCGCCGCCATCTTTCGGGAATTCTAAACAAGTGGCAACTCTCGCGTGATTTTGTAACATATCGCGAGGCTAGCCTTAGTCAGTACGTCTCTTTAGCCCCCCCTCTTGGGCGGGAAAAAAAACATCAACGTGACCTCACACTGTAGGGTGGCAGCCAGCCAACGCTTCAATCAATGCAGCTACAATCGCTTGGGCTGCCAGCCTTGATCAACATTAATGGGGCGGGATGTATTTTTTACAGTGTGATTTAATTTTGTTGCCGCAAAGTGGGCGTCGGAAGCGGTCTCCAGTAGCGCGTGCAGTTGCTAACAGACTTTTCTATGCAGCGTTTTAACAGCCAGTCACTGCACCAACAAACACAACCGTGCTGCTGTCCACCTCAATGAGGAAACTGTCACCTCTGCTTCGCTGAGCCATCATCGCCCGAAACTGTCACGGTCCACGGACAACCAGTGCCAGCGCCCATTGAAGAGAGGCAAACCTGCAAACTGCTGTCAGGAGCTAACTGCAGGCTAACGCCCCTTAGCTAGCAAGCTGAGTTCAATACGTGAAGAACTTTGTTGGCAAGCTACCGTCATCATCTCTGGATATTAGCCGTGTCTTTAACCCTGTGTTTCTGGTCAAAGTATCTCTTTTAGACAGAGTCGTTGCTGACTAAATAACTCGGTACATGATATACACTGGGGCGTAATGTAGCCTATTGTGTGTTTGTAAAAGTTAAGTAACACCTTGCTAGCTTGCCAGCCATGCTAGTTTTTCTTAACGTGACTCACTGGCTGGTAATGAATGCACCCTATCTTTACTTCGGGTGTTGTCTGGCCCCTTCACTGACACGCTGCTGATGACTCGTTTATGACCAGGCAGAAAGACTTTGTGTCGTCTCCCGTCAAGCCTGCTGTGACAGAGAAACGTGATTTTATTGACAGACTACTTGGATACCTACAGTACCATGGGGTCTCTGAAGGCTCTCCAGGAGTGGTGTCGGATACAGTGTGAACATTACAACGATGTGGAAGTAAAGGACATGTCAACGTCCTTTCGGAACGGATTGGCGTTTTGTGCCATAATTCATCGTTACAGACCAGAATTAATGTGAGTAACCCGGAGTCTAACGACCCAACATTAATAGTATCTTGCATTATTAACCAATATGTAATCATACATGAGATTACAGTAGTTCAAATTAACGGTATACGGTGAAAGTTGGACGCATCTTTTTGAGGAGTGACATGCTGTTGTGTTTTCAAATGGTTTTAAAGTACTTTAATACGCAGTATGTTAATCCTTTTAGGATACAAATGAAAAAACAAATCAGTAGCCGGATCGTGAACTCATCTATGCTCCTGTTTAATCCATTAATAGATTTTTTAAAGACTGGGATCATGTGAGACTAGTCTGTTTTTGTATACCTTTTTTGTAGAACGCTGACTACCTTAAAACACTGCATTAACATAACTGATTTAATAACTCTAGTGGTAAGATCCTTTAAAAAAAAAAAATGCCATTTATGTCACATTCGTATCAACAATGTATGTGTTTGTGTTGTATTCTCAGGTTTCAGGATTTTTAGCCAAAAACCTCCAAACATTTTTTCTCTCTAACATTTGAAGTGGGAGGCCACTGTGCTGTTATTAACTCAGGCTGACAAACTATGCCCTGTCTGTAACAACACACCCCTCCTCTCAGGATTTACACCTACACACACATTACAGAAGCTCCCACAAAACACAACAACAGTATCAGTGTGACTAACATATTTATTATAGAGATGAGGCCTTTGTTACGGCAGAGACACCAAAAGGCAGTATTTTTTATTTGGTGAGAAACAGCCTTTCAATACTTACATCTTAAGAATATGAGGGCCGTCATTTTCACTTTAAACTGATTTAAGACGGACAAATAACAGAAAATCTGCATATTTTAGAGGCAACAAAATAATTCTCTTCAATTGTATGCATTAAAAATCCCTTAAATGATTATCATAATAGTTTTTGAACATGTTTTTATTGATTTAGCTCAACTCTTGATCTTTTGTTTCAATGCAGGTATATTTTTGTTCTGAAAAGTTTCTATTAGTTGCAGTGTGTCAGTAAATATAAACAGAAACTCTGCCCTTCATATGACTGCATTGGACATGCATCTCTGTGAAGAAGCACCAGTGTAGCATAACGTGGCTTTATTGGGAATGCACACTCTTGACAGCATCAGATAAGTGTTTGGACTCCTTCTGAGATACGTTGTAGGAGGCTTTTGTATAAGCAGCCAGTAAATGGAGGGGAACATTTGATGATGGAGTGGTTTTAGACAAAAACCATCTTGCCCATGCTGCTAACCTCTCAGGTGGTCCAGGCTTTTTGTAGGTAAATTGGACTATGCCTGAATGATAGCAAACATTCACTTGAGGACAAGTCAGTGAGGTGGAATTTCTCTGCAGTGGAGCTGAAAATAAGCGCTTGGACAAATCCTAAAAACCCAGCTTTGGAGCGCTGCCGCTTCAATTTGTGTCCCAGCATGCCTCCCTCTCCAGCCCTCTGTGTAGCTGCAGCACCCCAACTGAACTCGCTGTGATCCAGACAGACAGTCCGTCGGGCTAATCTGCAGCTGAGACCTCCGCCTGTCAAACTGCATTTAGCTCTAATGGCTGGGCCTGGCCTCCGTAGAGCTGCCCTGCACTCTGCAGCCAATGTATTCTCATCAGAGTAGTACACCGCACTGATGCCGAGGGGGCACGTTAGTACAGTTAATGGCCTCATCTCAGTTTCAGCCCCACACCGACTGTCACTCAGCTTTACTGGAAAGGGAGTAGACATGACAGCGAGAAATCATCTATGGTCCAGTTAACCAAAGTGCATGGGACAGTGAGGTCAGAATTGCATTTTAATTCAATTGTCTTCATAAATGCTGCAGTTGAAACACTAACGTCATCAACTTAGTTTTACTTTCTCCTCCGTGTTGGCATTTTATCTCCATAATCAGGTGTGCACATAACTTTTTGAGTGAGTTACTCAGATGAGTACCAGGAGACAGCGTTTGGTACTCACCCCACATGAAGCGTGGTGTTAATAAGTGCAGTCTTCCTCACTGTCCTCCTCAGTGTCTCCTTCACTGTCCTCTATTTACACTTCTTGCATGCTAGATGATGAAGATGCACCTCCCTGTCTCTTTGTAAGCCTCCAATTTGCTTTCTCCAAAACTTGTTGCCAAAACTGTGAAGTCCTTGCATTTCCTGAGGCCAAGTTGAAGGATCAAATACTAAGAAATTATCACATGACTTGAAGTCATATCTGATTTCAGAGGTGGGAAGTAACAAAGTACATTTATTCAAGTACTGTACTTAGGTACAATTTAAGATACTTGTAGTTTACTTGAGTATTTCTATTTTATGCTACTTTGTACTTCTACTCCACTACAGTTCAGAGGTAAATCATGTACTTTTCTTCCACTACATGTATTTAATACCTTTAGTTACTTTACAGATGTGGATGAATGATGTGAAAATATAATCAAGTGTTAAATCAGACTTTAGTTCCACCTGGAGTAAATCCACAAGCTACCCTGCAGTATACAAAGTCATTCAAACTAATTTTTAAACACTTTAATGATCAATAATTATAAAACATATCATATACATTATTATGAAATGGACCAATCTGCAAAATGACTACTTTTACTGTCGCTACTTTAACTAGATTTTGATGATAATACTTTTCTAATTTTACTTGAGTAACACTTCTTCCACCTCTGTCTGATTTCAAACTCTTCCATTAACAGCCTGAGTAAGTTTGCAGCTGTGTGTTTTACTCCACTTTGTTGTAAATAAAACTGCAGCAGCTTGACCACAGAGCGTGAACGTTGTGATCAGCTGATTTTGCGCAGTTCTCCAGTGTGTGCGCGGGGCACAGAATGTGCACAGGGGAGTCTCCCACCGCAGCCAGTTGACGTAGTTTTGGTACAATTCTGTTGTACACACCGACGTTAACAGCAGCTCCGTCTGTGCACACGGCGACCAACTCTGTCGTCCAGTGATCTAAGCCTCTTTCTCCTGTGAAGCTTCACAGGTCCGTCGGTTATGTCCTGCGCGGCACGGCCAGCACCCAGTTCAATCAGTTCAATCAGTCATAGAAAGTCTGAAGATTTTAGCAGGGAGCGAAACGGCAAAGTGGCTGCTTAATGTCTTTGTTTTTTTTGGACATGTCTAATAATTTACTCCACTGAGTATTGACAAGAAACATGTGTAGGCGAAATATGTGTTTTGTTTTGATGACCTATCAGGTACGCAAAGGCGCGTTGTGACACAAGTGACGTTACGCATTTCAGATTGTTGCCGCGCATGCGTACCTGCGTACCAGTTATGTGCACCCCTGTCCATAATGCATGTTTTGTCCCCCCTGCTCAGATACCAAACTACTGAATATTTTGTATTTATAAGCTCCATTTTTGATTTTCACGACATCACCTATCCAGCAGTGTGTTGGATACCAAATGTGGTAGATATTGTTGTTCATCCCGGTGTTGAACGTATGAATCTAAAAAGCCCGTACAGTACACACACACACACTCCACTCCTGTGCATTCCTCTTTCCCAAAATAAACCTTGGAGCGAGACTGGGTTATGTTTGCAATTCAGATCACACACTGCACTACATCATGCACGTCGGCTGCCACCGTCTGTTCTGCGAGTGTCACGCAGTTTGTCAAAGTTTTTTGGCTGCAGCTCCTTCTGGATACGTTGGTAGATGTGACATAGTGGACTCGTGGTGACGCGGTCTTGATGTTAGAGCTGCTGCTGCTGTGACCATGGGAACTAGATTAGAGAGAACAGAGGTCACTTTGTGCGGCTCCAACACGGAGCTCATTCACAGGGTTTTTCCCTTCTTGAGACTTCCACATGGTCTCCACAAGCTCTCTCACCAGGGTCAAGGTGTTTTTTCCGCCACACTGTTTTCCTACTGTTAACATACATTTACTTATGCACACTTTCCTCCCAGAACACCTCAGACATGTTCCAGTTTACTGCAGGATGTTTACGGGCTTTGGCTCCCTGGCCCTGAGGCATTTCAAAGCAGAGCCTTGTAATTATCGGCCCATCACTCCCCTTTGGTGCGGGAGTTTTTTCCTTTTGTACCTGCACTTTTTTCACATTTTGCATCGTTAATGTGCGGTTTGGGATCAATTGTCAGCTTCGGTAGTTAGGAAGCTTAACTGCTTACCATTCCAGTACATCATGCTGTCAAAGCAGTAATGGCTTTTCAATGGTTCATAACAAATGGTTTAACAATCAATACTGTACTGTCCTATATCAGCATGGCTTTGTTTTCTGAACTAATCCTGATGTAAAAGGACATACTATGATTTGCAGTTGTTGCAGACTAAATAACTTTACACCAACTACCTGCATACCCAGCCTTATCTCAAATTGTATCTTGAAATTTTCAATGTTTTCTTGTCATTTCAGAGACTTTGGCTCGCTGTCTAAAGAGAATGTGTACAAAAACAACCGACTGGTGAGTCTACTTTACTCCACTGGTCTTATGTTGCTTTTATTTAGCTTTGAAGGGAAGTATAAGTCACTTATTTCGTTTTAGGCGTTGCATTTGCTTCTTTCAGCCGTTAAAATATTACTAAGCCTCACATTTGCATGCAGTCATGCTGGGTGTGACCTCAGTGTGTTTGACTGTGTGTCTATGTCTTACTTCATTTCCATGAGCAGAGTGGGAGTAGGCTAAAGCATTATATGTCCTTAAAAACAGCCTGACATAACCCTGTGTGGGGACCATTTAAAGAGGATTTGAAATGCAAAAGGGCTGAATTTGCAGCTTAAAAGTTCTTGGATAGAAACCAATAGAGTCCTTTTGGGGTCTCTCCACATTATCTGTAAGCCAGCAGAACATTGAGGGATAAAGTGGGAGTCTCCTCATTTCCAGTCTGAGCTAAGTTGGCAGCTCTTTGCTGCTGTTTATATCATTTTTATCCAGCTGCTTTCAGGGAAAGTGAGGCGGGAACAAACTGTGTGTGCTGGCTGTCATTATATATTAATGAAGATATTCACTGTATCCATAAGGCCCAAGCCTGAGTATTCTAAAAAGTTAACAAGCACAGATTTGACTATTAAGAATATTCCTTTTATCCTACTCTGTTTGTGCTTGATTATTTCTTAGTATTACTTTTCGAAATGCACCTTTCATACAGGCGGTAGTACAGTGCATACAGGGGTCTACTTTAACAAGTGTTTGACCCTCTTCATACATGACTGACTGCTGTCAGAGGTTGAAACCTTGTTGTCAGTCTTCACTGTAGTTGCCCACATTACTGCTAACTGTAGTCTCTCTGAACGTTTCACTTCCCTCCACTTGCTTACATTATGTCACTTACCCACCCAGGAACTATTCCTCTTGTTTTAGATTCATATCTTTTGTGGAATCATCATTCATATTTAAATAGAATTGCTTTATATAAACAAGTTATTCCAGTGTAAATATAAAAGTAAAATGTGTTAAATGAACTTCAATGATAGCTATCTCTAAATGCTTTCGTTAACTTACAACTGTATCACGTTGATATCAAGATGAATCGGCAGCAGGAGTCAATGAATTTGGGCTTGAAATCTATTTTTAAAAGTCATTTTTGGTTTATCCATTTGATTGATTGAACTGGTGTATGAATAACCTGTATTTCTAGTTGGATATGCAAAACAGCAAGCATTTAATTATTCTTGAATTCCCCCTACATTTAAAACAAAGTCTCATCTCCAATAGAAACACCTGTTTCCCAAAGGGTCCACCTGCATTAAGTTAAAGTCTGGAGGAGGTTCATGAAAGCAGGTCAGGTGACCCAGACAGGCGGTGCTGGTCTGACCTGCTTCTCTGGGTGTTTCTCAATCGCGAGTACGCTTGCTTGGTAGCACATGTCTGCCGAGCATCTTGCTTCAGAAGCGAGTCAAGAATACTTCCTGCCATTCGGAAAACGAAGTGTGGAACACGCTAGCAAGTGTGCAGGTGTGCGTCATATGAGAGGCCCCGCCTTACATCTTCCGCCACAGATTTGGGGAAATTGGTCCGTGCGCAAAGCATTGTGGGGATTTTAAGGCCGCGAAGTCTACTCATGTGCACACTCGATATTTCTCCAAACGGAGTACACTGGGCTCGGTAGATTTCCAAGTATACTGGAGATTGGAACAGTACTTCGGCGGCACTCGATGACGTAGTATGCTTGAAATAGTGGCTCTGAAGCAGCTTTACTCGCGATTGAGAAACACCCCGAGTGTCCTTTTGGGGAACTCTGACTCACAGGTGCATCCTGCTTTGGACTAATTGCAAAGAGAGCAAAATGTTTCAGTTCATAGTCACACACTAAGAATGTTTTGAACTAACGGTTATCTGGACTGTTTATGAAGATATCTGCGTATTGCTAAAAATATGTTCATACAAAATGTACCTTTTGGCATTTCCAACAAGGATAGCTGTGGAACAAGTCTATGAAGTGAAACTGTATCAGTATTGAGCATTAATATACAGAAATTGCAAAAAAAACAGGTTATTGTACAGTGTTGGCTGGATTATCTCAGTGTTGAGTGAGTGCCAACAGATGTATCCCTGTTATGTAACTTCAGTGCCAGTCTAATTTCTTCAGTGGAATTTTTCATTAGACTGATGGTTATCCTCAAAGGACAAAACATTACATTATCAGCAAATGGCTGATGCTTTGGCAGCAGAGTTAGATTATTCAGGACATCAGGTATGCCATGGTTGGTCATGGCAAGCATCTTTTTTTGCAACAAAACAAATAGTTAATAGTCAATAGTTAAATTATTATTTTCTAAGTAGATTGAGCAGTAACGTGTCTTTCCGGTTATGGCAGTTATGATGAACAGAATTCATTTTTAAGAGTTTCCATTGCAGCTTCTTAGTGCCATGTCTAAAAGGTGAGAACAATCTGACCAAATTACCACATCTAGGTAGAAAGATTAATAAGTAATACGTGAGTCTGTTGCTTAGACACAGAAAACAAGTTGGGTCACATGGCTTAAGTGAATTGATGACAGTTGGAATTAATCCATGTTGATGGATGGTTACACCCCTATTTGGTAAAAAATAGCACCAATTACTTTTATTTAGTTATTATTTATTGTATGCATGCATGTCAAAACACTGGTGACCCTTCCTCAGCTTCCTGTCTCTGTCTTTGCCTCACCGTAGGCGTTTGAAGTGGCGGAGACTCAGCTGGGCATCCCGGCCCTGTTGGACCCAGAGGACATGGTGTCCATGAAAGTGCCTGACCGGCTCAGCATCATCACATACGTCTCCCAGTACTACAACTTCTTCAACAACAAGTCTCAAGGTGGTTACAGTCATTTCAGTTGGACTCACTTCATTCTATGTGAACATAAAATGCATATTATGTTAAAATGTTGACTTTGTCACAGATAAAATTAATTTGATGATTTTGACTGAAAATAAATTGAAAAAACTGCTTTAACTTGTGCTATACTGCACGCATTTTCTTTTTCAGATTCATTTGTTAAACATTTTTTTAATTGTTCTAACCTTTTTTTCTATATTTATATATGTATTTTTTTTATAAATAGGTCTTTATTTGCTAAATTGTTACAACAAAATCCTGCCTGGCAATAAACCTGGTTTTGATTCACATGCAATTTTAAATCCAACTTGAGGCTGACCACAGTTTATATAATTTGTTTATATCAAATAACGGATAACTTCCTTTTTCCGCAGCAAACCCCCCTTCCATGAAAAGGCTCAGTTCTGTCGGTCTAAATGAGCCCGCCCAGAAAAGGCCCCCCACCCCTTTGGAAGACAAAGTGGTCGAGTCTGAGGTAAGAGAAAGACTTGGAAGCAGGAGAAACAGAAATGACCTTGTGCACGTGTTGATAATGATTTGTTTTTCATACATAATACCTTTTTAAAAACTGCGTTACTGAACTACATTATTCCTGCATGATACCCGACTGGAGCTGCATGTTAACAAGCTGTATTCTTTAAGTAATATATTGTTTGTGGTGTCCTTCAAAGGCCTGGCTAATCAGACTGAAACCGCTTTTTTCTGTAGTATATCGGATCTGGAGCCTTGGGTTTTCTATATGTAATTCGGCATGTGCTATTCGGGGGTATTAAGTCATCAGATCTGTACAATACAAACCCCATCCTGCCGATGCAGTACAACAATGTACCACATAAGTATTTTATAATTACCACTTCCTCGTGTGGGCTTTGTGTTGCACAGCAGGGGAATAAAGCTCCAGAGGTATCGTCAGTCTGTAAAAATAGCCTCTGTATCCTGTCTCTCTTTTCTTTCGCATGCCTTTCCTCCATCGCCACACTCCCATGTACTGGCAACCTCCCCTCTCCACTTCCACCCCCACCCCCCCTTCTTCAGATGGAAATCCATTCCACTCCCTCCTCTTCCTGCTCTTCTTGTTCCTCCTCACATCTGAGCCCCCCTCCTCTCTCTCCTGAGCCCAGGCAGTAGGTTAGGGGTGGGGGTGGGTTAGGAGGTGAAAGTTAGGTCAGTCTTTTTTAACCATCTCTTGTACAAAAAGAAAATACTAACTGTAGTACTATCCTAACACTGTGTGCCAAGTTTGGGAATGCGCTGCTGCTAACCCCCTCGCCCTTTTTGTTTTTACTAAAATACTAATTTAAAAAAAAAACTCTAAATGCCTAAAAATAATATCAAATCATATAAAAAAAAAATGGGACTGTTTAAGCCACTAACCCAAGCTGTTTGGACTCTTTTACTAATAATGTCTTTATGACATTATGTAAAATTTGTGTTAAATCATGTTTAAAACTGAACAGGAAATGCAGTAATGAAGCACACAAATCAATAAGCAGTAGGTGGCAAGTAGACGTAGCTAGTTCAACAAAAATGAACAATCCACATCCTTAAATTCTGACTCCGTGTTTGATCTCCCCCTCCCCCATTGCTTTCCATCTCCCCCCCTTTCCCTGACGTCCCCTTCCCCTGCGTCCCGGGTCGCTCACACTAGCAGAGCCAGCCTGAGGAAACTGGCGTAGAAGCGGCCTCAGCGGTGAAGCGCAGCACGCTCAGCAGCACCTGCGCCGCCTGCCAGAAACACGTCCACCTGGTGCAGAGGTTCCTGGTGGACGGCAAGCTCTACCATCGCAACTGCTTCAGGTAAACACTGCAGCTAATTTGAGTTTCTTAAAGGGGACCTATCATGCAAAATGCACTTGTTGATGTCTTTTATACATAAATATGTGTCCCCGGTGTGTCGGGGAACTCACGCAGCGTCAGAAAATAAAACCCTCTCTCTTTTCCTCCGTACCCAAATCTCTCAAAACGGGGCTACAACGGAGCTGATCCAGATTTGCGTCCGATATGACGTAATATCGGAAATGTAGGCTGACTTTAAACCCCCGGCCCTATCAGAAACGTTGCTATTAGAAACAATGCCCGAGTGTTTTGGACGTAATATGGTCGGTGTTTACATTAGCATTGCTAACACTCAGAGCTAAGCTGTACTGGAGAGCATGTGTGTGAAGAAGCAGGAAATAAAAAGGAACTCACCTTGTGGTATAACCGGCAAGAGAGAAAGCCTTTGAGCTCCATACTGTTTCAGAAATAATCCTTGATAATCCATGATATGGCGTTTCATCACCGCAGAATCTGCCGGTAGAATCTCCCGCATGAGCAGGCATAAGCTCCGCCCCTCTTTTTATTTTTATCAATTATTATTATTATTTTTTTTAAACCTTTATACCCCAAATCAGCACTTTTGAAACAGGAAGTGAAATAGAGGGATATGAGGCATGGCTAGAATGGGTGATCTGTTTGGTATTTTGAGCAAAACACTTCATAGACATGTTTTTTATATATTTGTATATATCTGAGACCTATGCTATTGCCTAAAAATAGCATGGTAGGTGACCTTTAAAGTGATTATCCTCATTATTTGAGTCCTGGTTGATTTGGCAACACCTGCAGTCAGTGGTCATAACGGCTAGTGTGAGTTAATACTACAATAAGAGCTACTGTGGTATCTATTTACAGAGAAGCCAGATACACAAACAAGCATTATTTTATAGTTGACCTTTTTCCATTATATCATGAGTAACCTTGCCCATGTTTCACCAGCTGAATGATTTGAATGTGACCCAGAAGAAGTAACAACCATTCATGCCTCATTTAGTGTGAATTTAGATAACAGGAATTTCTGTCTGTATAATTTTGCCCGATTTGCCTATGTTTTTAATCTTTTGTAGCTTTATATCTCAACATTCTTTATGACCTCTTGTTGATCTCACTGTCCTGTGTCTGTGTTCTCTCAGGTGCACGGAGTGTCACAGCACCTTGCTTCCTGGATCCTACAAATCAGGAAGTAACTCTGGGGCCTTGGTTTGTACACATCACCTCGCAAGGCAAGCTTTAGCCAATCAGAACGGCCGGCCGGATCTGAGTAAGAGACCCCCATTGGCTGCTCAGTCTGTCAGAATTGGTCGCAGCCCGGTTCCTCACACCTCGCCCTCTGAGAGGGAACACGCTAAGACTCCTTCTCCTGTAAGACAAACAAATGAGACTGCCACGCCAACAAATGAGACTGCCACGCCAACAAATGAGACTGCCACGCCAACAAATGAGACTGCCACGCCAACAAATGAGACTGCCACGCCAACAAATGAGACTGCCACGCCAACAAATGAGACTGACACGCCAACAAATGAGACTGCCACGCCAACAAATGAGACTGACACGCCAACAAATGACTCTGTCCCAGTCACCGCTGTCACAACAAATACTGCAGACTCTGTGGAAGAAGCAAAAGAGACGGAGGGCAGTGTGGAGACCGAGGTGACACCGCGCTCTTCTTCTCCTCCAAACCCCTTTGATGAGAGCGACGAAGAAGAAGAAGAAGAAGAAGAAGTGGAGAAAGAGGAAGAAAGTAAAACACCAGCCAAAGTAACGACCAATGGGGATCTCCCTTCTACACCGCTCATTCATCAGGAAAGGGCCAGTCGGCCAGTACCGGCCCCCCGCCGCGTTGCTGAGCCCACCCCCCCTCCTCGCCCTGCACCGCGGGTCCGCCTCCCCCGCACGGCAGACAGCCCTACAGTCGGTGCGTACTCACTGCACAATATAAATGATTACATGTAAAAATATGCACCTGTCCTCACAATGTTCTTAATATCACAGGTGAACACCAGAAGCCTCTGATTCCTCCCAAACCTCGAGAAATATCACGCTCTCCTGGAAGGTAGCTGAACTTCTGTTAATGGCCTCTTTTTCTATCCATTGCCACCAATGCATCATCCTTCAAGGAATACGTCACCCACAAAAGCAATCATGTAGATATCAATTTACTCAAGCCCTGTTACTTTTCATTCTTAAAGAAAACATCCAAAAACTGAGAAAAGTCATGAGGAATTGAAGTAAAAGGTGGCCATGTTTCACAACAGTTAAAAAATATATCAAATCATTATTTTTATAAACTCTCACACAAAGCATGTAGTATAATCCCAGTCTCATTTAGCCAGTAGCATGCTAGCTACCCGAAATACATGTATTTTTCAAAAAACCTCACTATTTCAAACAATTGTACATAAAACTGTGTATTAAATATGATTGTTTTACTTAAAATGCATGTGTTTGGGAAACAGTGAGCATATGACTGGATAAATAAGACTTGAATAATATTGCACATGTTGTGAGAGTTTGTTAAAGGATGTTACGATATAGTTTTTGATTCATTAAGAATATAATGCATTTTTAAGCTCTTTAAGTTCACCCTAGAGGGAAGCCAGAAAAACAAAGTATCAGTCATTTATATACAATTGTCATTTTGTGGGTGATGTTTCTTTTTTGGAAATCATATAATCATATCTGTCTCAGTTCTAATTTCCATCTCGTCACAGCATGTAGTTGTGTGCCCCTCCGTTTCTGTTTGGTTGTATTTAGTTGCCTCCCCCCCCTGTATGACCCCTCCCTCCCTATCTGTGTGTCTCACTGTCCAGCCTGTCCAGTGGTACCCCTAAACCCAAAGACCCACCTTGGCTGGCCCTGGTCCAATCAGACACCAAGAAGAAGAAAGCCCCTCCCCGTCCCCCTGTCGGACTGGCAACCCCTCCCAACACAGGCTCTCTGTCCTCTCTCAAAGGGGAGGGCTCCAGACCCAGCACCCCCCCTGCGCCCGCGAACCCTTTCGACGATGATGACGATGAAAATGTGGAGGTGGAGGAAGAAGAGGGCGGTGAAAGTGCGATTCCACCCACAATTGCGGCGAGTCACCCGTGGTATCGCATCACCCAGGCAGCAGACGCCCCAGGAGCAGACCCTCCCCCCACCGGGGGGAGCTCGTCTCGCTCCGCCAGCCCCGCGAGCGCCAAGAACAAGAAGCGGCCCGCCCCTAGGGTCCCGAAGCCCCCAACAGGTCAACAAGGTCAGTTTGATCAATGTTTCATTTAAATAACATCAGAGGTTGCACCATTCCTAGCTGTATGCTGTTTCATACAAGAAGGAAACGCCAAGACTTTAAGACATTTAACATGTTTTAATATAATATCCCCCCACCACTAAGTCTTTTTTGAAGGGGAACATGCGTTTGCTCATGTTGTAGTTCCCTACACTGCTAGTGCATGTTATCCAATAACAGCATTTAAACATTGAGTGGAAAACAACACGTCTTGCAGTGTTTCAGTTCATGGGTATTGGGATGGAAAATGGGATGAATATTGGATTAAAGATTAAGGAAGATATTTTAGCCTTCTTTTTTTTCCGATCAACCTCTCCCCAAGGTACCAAGACAAGCGTTCTTCATATCACCATCGCATTGCCAAAATAAAAAAAGAATGATGTGTGTGTGGGTTTTCTTACATCCCATATCCCGAAGCCCCTTAAGTGATTGCACGCATGAATAACAGGCAATGATTCTTCGATAAAAGCCATACCCTGTAATGATTCAACCTCTTATCTTATAGATGAGGCTCAGGGGAGAACCACCAGTGTGTTATTGTCTTCCTAGCACTAAATAATCCTACACAAATATGATATCTATAACCTGGTGTAATCACTGTGAATAGAACATACAATCATATTTGAATGGGTTGTTTGCGGATGGGGAGTCCGGGGTATTTTGAAAACACTTAGAAACTGAACAGAGGTTTTATAAAGATTAGTTTTCTAGCTACATAAAGTACAGCTTTATTTTGAAATGCCTATATTATGTGCCATACTTTTTATCGATTTTAAAACATACATTTAAAACATACTTTCAGTGATTTTAAAGCCAACCGCCTTCAAATAAATAAATACTTAGTACTTCAGCACAGTTAAACTGGAACAATAATGTGAAAGTACAAAAATGAAGTGTGTGATGTTATAAATAGATGTTCATTGTTTGTTCTTTTCTCCACCCCCTCTCCACCACGATCTGTCTCTACTTTGATTCCCGTTTCATTTCTGCTATTTTTACTGTTTTCTTCACTGAACCTTCGCCCCACTGCAGTCCTCCCTCACTCTCAGCCCTCCTCTTGCTCCCCCTCCCCAGCCCTCAGCACAGAGAGTCTCTCCTCCGGCTCGGACCACAGCTCCTCCCGCCGCCCGCTGGGTGGGGGTCCCAGCAGCGACCAGGAGCACACCTTCACCAAAAGTGTCTCTGAGCCCTCCATCTGTTCCCCCTGCGACTCTGTGGACTCTCCTTCCTCCTCCTCCACCGAGCGCCTGCCTCACCCTTTCCTCAGCCCCCACCCTTCTCCATCATTTGCCAGCTCCGCTCCCGCCACCCCCCAGAGCAGTCGCAGCTCTGGGACCCGAGGGGCCGCAGCCCCTCCTCCGAGACCCCCCACGACCCTCAGCCCATTGGCCTCAGGAGCCGCCAATAAGGTACCAGGTCCACCTCCAATAGAAGCAATAACACAAACACAAAATTCTGCACATTATGTTTCAGCTGCATCTCTTTGCTCATTTCAGCGGATCTGTAAGGAGAACCCGTTCAACAGGAAAGCTTCTCCCTCTCCTTCTAAATCCAAATCCAAATCCAAACCACCAAAAGGCCCCCGACCCGCCAGACCCCCGGCCCCGGGACACGGCTTCCCTCTGATCAAACGCAAGGTACAGAAGTAAAACATTTTACTACAAGGACGTTTCATGACATGCTGTACTAGGACTTTTACATTATTCCAGACTTACAAACTTAATAGGAATATTACAAATAATATAAAATAAAAACATACAAGATAAAACTACAACAATTAAACCACAATTAATAATTTAAATGAAAAAGACATTCCTATGTTGCCAGTGTTTTCTGAGCCTGAATGATACGGGGAGCATCTCTCTATCTGGCTGATGTTCTTCTCTTACTCATCCAAGCCACAAATACAACTTTTACATTAGATGTTTTTAAAAGTGCCTCACATGAAGGATCACTAGAGAACAATTGACTGGCACTTTGCCTTCTGGGAACCTGAACCTACTATCTCATCGCTATGAGCCTCAGCATGCTTCTCTCCTGGAGCTGCACCATAGATAAGCTGTATGCATAGATGTGCAGAAAGCTCTTAATATTGATCATTTTACAACAGTTACAGAACACATTTACCTTGATAAGCATCATACTTTCCTGTCATTGTTGATATATATATATATCATCAGTCAGATCAGCACTGGGAAAATAGCCACGGTAATGTACTTCCTTGTAGTCATGAAAGGAGTATCGCACAAGTGAAACAAATACAAAAGAAAAAGGAAATCTTATCCTCTTTAATGAGATTTAACTACATTATTCTATGTCTTTTAATTACATTTTCTTTATGACATACTTCTTATGAATTTGTTATGGAAAACTACACTGTGACATTTTTACGACTTCATCGGAATATAATACAATATTTGGAATGGCTGAGGAAGTTTTTCGCACCATGCCTCCAGGTGCAGTCAGACCAGTACATCCCGGTGGAGGACATCCACGGGGAGATGGGTCAGCTGGAGAGGCAGCTGGACGAGCTGGAGCAGAGGGGGGTGGAGCTGGAGAAGAAGCTGAGGGACAACCCCAACGGTAACACATCACATTACGTTTAATAGATGTTTATTTTACTTTTGTACAAGTAAAACAAATACAAGTAATACTTCCACTATTTGTATATTATGAAGTCGGTCTAGTTGCTATAAATATACACAGTGAAAGTACCAAAAAGCTCTATTCAAGGAAAAATGCAAGCTTTGCAAGAGCAGAGCGGACGGTTAAATTAATTAAAGCAGGTTCTAGTAGAAACCCAAAAAGACAAGTAAGAAAAATAAGCATACCTCATCTAAAATGAAATACTTTTTTACCTGAAAAGCTCACAAAAGCATCATTAAGAACGTGGACCCCATAAAACGTGGGGTTGGGATGGCAATAATGCTAGATATCACCTGTAAAGAACAATGCATAATAACAGAAACATGATCAATACATCTCTGTGTTCCTCTGTTGTGTTTTCAGATGAGGATGAGGAGCACCTGTTGGTGGACTGGTTCACTCTCATCCATGAGAAACATCTTTTAGTACGAAGAGAGGCTGAGCTGGTCTACACGTGAGTATGAGACGCAGCAGACGTTCGATCATAGGCCTTCATCGGTTATTTCTCCCTCAATTCCTTGGGAGCGGGGTAATTATTGTGCAGGGAAAGTTATTGTAAAAAATTCAAAACCTGAATGTAATAGCAGCGGAATTATTCAGTGCAGCGCATCAGCCGAGTTCCTGCTAGTTACTCAGAGAGGATGAGGCATTTTCTCTGCTGAATCCTTTGCTTTTAAAGTGTAGGTCCATAATTATTTTTACGTGAAGACTTTAAGAGGCCCTGTTATGCCTTAGGGCCCCTTGAATGTAAGGTAGTGTTAAAGTATGTTAATGAATAAAGGTTAGCGGTGTGTAACATACTGTGTACGTGTTGCTCTCTGCAGAGCGAAGCAGCAGAACCTGGAGGAGAGGCAGGCTGACGTGGAGTATGAGCTCAGGTGTCTCCTCAACAAACCAGGTGTGTGTGACCTCACCATGTTAACAAGAGTCATCACAGTCTGACTCGTGACTGTGTGTAATGCTTGGCTTAGAAAATTAGCAACCCAAATGTAATTTGTACATCTGCACACATTGTATTAAAGGGGACCTATCATGCAAAATGCACTTTTTGATGTCTTTTATACATAAATATGTTTACCCGGTGTGTCGGGGAACTCACGCAGCGTCAGAAAATAAAACCCTCTCTCTTTTCCTCCGTACCCAAATCTCTCAAAACGGGGCTACAACGGAGCTGATCCAGATTTGCGTCCGATATGACGTAATGTCGGAGATGTAGGCTGGCTTTACACCCACGGCCCTATCAGAAACAATGCCCGACTGTTTTGGACGTAATATGGTCGGTGCATGTTTACATTAGCATCGCTAACACTCAGAGCTAACCTGTACTGCACAGAGCATGTGTGTGAAGAAGCAGGAAATAAAAAGGAAGTCACCTTGTGGTACAACCGGCAAGAGAGAAAGCCTTTGAGCTCCATACTGTTTCAGAAATAATCCTTGATAATCCATTATATGGCGTTTCATCACGGCAGAATCTGCCGGTAGAAACTGCCGCATAAACTCCGCCCCTCTTTAAAAAAAAAAAAAATGTGTTTGGTATTTTGAGCAAAACACTTCATAGACATGTTTTTTATATATTTGTATATATCCGAGACCTATGCTATTGCCTACAAATAGCATGATAGGTGACCTTTAAAGTAGAATCACTAACTTCTTTTTTTATCTGTGACAAGTTTTGCACACACATTCACTAAAACCTACTCTACTCACATTAATTATATCCGTTTATATATTTCTTCTATCAACATGAATTTAACTCCTTCTGTTTAACTTGCACACTGTATTCCTGCAAAGTGCACCATGTTCCCATTGCATATTAATACAATTTAAAAAAAACTGAAATCATTCTGTATCATCCTTTGCCTCCTCAGAGAAAGACTGGACGGAGGAGGACAAGAGTCGGGATCAGGAGCTGATGTCGGAGCTGGTGACGATCATCGAACAGCGGAACCAGATCGTCAACAACATGGACCAGGACCGGCAGAGGTAACCTGCTGCTTCCTGTCGATCTGTGCAGCTCTGATCAGTGACACTTTGTTTCTAACACGTGTCATTCTGTCACAGGGATGAAGAGGAGGACAAACAGATAGAGGCCATGCTGAAGAAAAAAGGTATGATGAGGAGTGAATCCATTTGTTGTGGGTCACAGATTACCATGTTATTATCTATGTATGTACTTAGTTTGTCCATACATGTAGGCTTTGTTCAAAACACAAGCTCATTTGATATATAAAAAAAAAAAAGATTTCTCATAGTTTGCCTTTTTTAATTTGAAGGCAGTTTTTTTAATTTAACTTGAAGAAAATATTTCAAAAATAATATTAAAAAACCTAAATAATTAGCAATCTAATAAAAAAAGTATAATTATATAAAGCAAGAGAATAATTTAAAAAAAAAAGACTAACTACAGGTTCTTTAGAAATGTGTAAATCTCTCTTACTTTTTTTCTTCTTATTTATTTTGTACTGATTTTACAAACATTAAGAATTGTAAAGCAATTTGCGGTCTCACTTTCCTCCTCGTCAGACTTCCATAAGGAACCGGAGGTTGAGCCGCAGCAGAAGAAAAAAGGGGGGAAGTTCAAACCCATCAAGGTGCTGAAGAGGCTGAGCCATAAAGGGGAACCAAGCAAGAGCCCCCGCAAGGAGAAGAAATCCCCGTAGACACAACGCTTCTCCTCCAAGAGGATATGAGACTTTTTTTTTAACAACTAAGGCAGATTTAAAAAAAGGATGTGAGCAAAGAAGATAAGAGGAGGTCGTCTGACTGTAGAATGCCCTCACCTCTCACTCCTTACCTCTCCAAATCTCCAAAGACCTTTTTTCCGTTGCCTTTGTGTGATTTTAGAGAGACGGTACGACGGCTGCTTTATGAGCGGACATGTTTGTAAGCCTTTGAAGCAACTGAGGTGACCCGCAGGTTGTAAACGACTGCACTGATTGGTTGTTGCTTCACTCTCCTTGTCTGCCACAGCGTGTCTGACCCTTCAGGCCTTTATCAAGGCTTCACAGCTCCACAGTTGATCCCTGAGTGTTGTATTGGTTTGAATCTGTTCCCAACACATTTATTACCCTCTGCTCCTGAAACCCAAAGATAAGAAGCTGGATATCTGAGGTTTTATGTCTGGTTTGAGCCCGTGGTACGAGTTTAATTTTTTTTTTATCTAGCAACGTCTACTCATGAAATGCTCGATCAACAATGCATACCTAAGCTCTTCTAGCTGCTATGTTATGACTGTCTATGGGTCCCTTTTTTTATTTCTCCTGTGATAGTTTTGCGATGATGTCCCTTGTGTAAATGCATATCATCAAAGACGTGGATGTGAACGTAGATATACAGTATTAATAGGAAGTTGTGTGACTGGAAATCAGATTGACTTAGAACGGTCTGAAGATAAGTATTGTAGATAACCTTTAACTGCAGGTGTCAGAAAGTGTATCAGTATGAAAGGTCACACATGCAATAATGAACATTAGAAAAGGCAGATGTACAGTATGTTAACAACTGTAGCAAAGCACCAGCTTATAACAGACTAACCATTAGGGGAGAAACCTGAATATGCAATCATTAATTTATATTTTACGATGCCTTTCTGTGTGTTTCCATGTATTGCCTTAAAAGTGGATAGGAAAAAATGTGTTAATATTGTTTGTACGTGCCATTTATTTAATTTCAGCGTCATTTGTTTGATGTAACTGTCAGTATGTTTACTCATTCTGTTCCTGTTAGTCCTCCATTTGAACTGTAGTCTGCGTTGTGTCTCTGCTCTGTGCCTGTCCTCCTGTCAGCTGTAACCAAGGGCTTCTGTAGCGCCACATGTTCTCAAACAGCAGCAGGATTATTACAAAACATACTGACACTGGAAGGCAGAGGAATAAAATAACTTACTGCAAGTCTTTCATGTTTCTTGTAACTTTAGTGTGTGATACAGATAATAAGCCATGTCTACATGTCAGTGGCAGTGAGTCTTCTCTTCTTCTGTCTATTTTATCTCCATCTTTTCTGTGACCTGCCTCTCAAATGTCAGACTGCGAGTCTTCTCCAATCCTCTGTTATGGAGTCGTGACAAAGCGCAGGAGAAAAGACAATATCAGTTCACGAGAGAATGAAGAATACTCTTTTTTTCTGTGAACCTAAATGTCTGAATACAGACTTAAACTAATGCCATTATATAGGATATCAAAATCCTTAATAATTTGAGCTCGTATCACCTGGGATATTTCCGAGTTGATGATGCTGGTGTACTGCCTCTCCTGACCCAGTGAGCCCATCTCTGCCAGGAACTGTCTCCTCTCCTGTATCTCATCCACAACTACAGAAGAGAGACATGTTATTATTAGATGCATTCAAAAGGAGTCGGATATTTTTAGTCTAGAGTAACACAAAGCACAATTTACATTTAGGCTGAAAAATAGAAACAATGAATCAGGCTGCATTGTGTTCCTCAACAGCAGTGCTTCTCAAAGTGTGGTCAGCGGACCACTGGTGGTCCGTGAGCGCCCCCTAGTGGTCCGTGACTATATTGGTAACATTTCACATTTGAAATAAATAAATAAATAAATGTAAGTTTTCCGTACTCTCGCGGGAATATCTCCGCAATGGAGCGAGCTTAACTTTCACTTTCGATTGCATGATATAGCCCAGCGCAACACCTTCATCACACATGTTCCCTTCGTTTATAAATAAATCCTGTAGAGCAGTGTTTCTCAAACCTTTTCATACCAAGGACCACTTAACCAATAAAAAAACACTCACCACCTAACTCTACAAATATCCAAAATCACATCGTTTTTCTAGAACAGATTACAAATCGCCTGAAAATGGTACAAACAAGTTTTTTCTCATATTTTAGACATGCTGTATTATGTCATTTTCCGGATATTTTCGACATACTGCGGCTTTTTTGACATACTCCACTGTATTGTTTTTACTTATATTAATGACATACTGTACAATGTATTTTTTCTCATATTTTCGACATACTATGTTAGTTTCTTTTGCATATTTCGGCCTTCCTATACTATGTTGTTTTTTCAGAATACTTCGGTCTTCCATAATATAATTTTTTCCTGAAAGTTTCGGCTAAATATACTTTGAAAAAGGACAAAGTACATATTTTATTTAATTCAGAAAAATATAAATAGCATAAAAACTTGAAATGATCAAGTGTTAAACGTTAATATCAGGAAAATGACACAGTATAGTATAGTACAACAAAAATACCAGAAAAAAGGCATACAGTAGTGTAGTATGTATATTACGTATAATGATATGACTATTTTATTTTTTCCTGATATTATATTACTTGAACAAATCGTACTATATTTTTGGAAAACTAAACAAAGTGACATATTTTCTACAGCATACAGTCTTTAGCCTCACCTATCTGATAGCGGTCTCTCTGCTCAGCGACCTCTTGGTTCCGACAGGCAGAAACATGTTGTGAAGCTTTGGGCTCTTCTTCTCCTGTTGCCAAAATATTCTGAAGCCTCCTCTTCTCTTTCTCCAAGTCTCCTAGGGTGGACAACAAGAGTGAAGACTGAATGATTCTCAGGATGCAGAAAACAGAACAGAAACAGGTCACCATCTTTTAGTGAGGAATAATATGCGATATAACGCAATAATATGAAATGTAAGCAAGTCAAAGTCATACAATCAGGATAAATAATAATGACGTCAGTTTCTACATACTTGAAGGACCAGGACAGAACTTCTCTCTGACGTAGCTGTTATCCGAGCGACAGGACTCAGCGCTGCGTCTCTGAGGCTTCCCTGGAACACGCTTCTGGACACATTGACTGGTTTTCAGCTGAACGGGTGAAGATGATGGTGTGGGGTCAGAGTTCAGAGGTAAAGCTGTTCCATCTGAGGGAAATGTAAAATAGATAAATGAGAGCCTTTTGTGGCAGGTCAAAATGTAATGCTTAATGTTTCAAGACATATTTATTAGGTTGTGTTATGATCTGGATGTTTAACACTATCATATGGTGGGTTCTAATCTGTAATAAGAATATCCATCATGATAATTTCATCATAAAACATTGTAAGAATATATCAAATGTACGAACTTCATGTGTTCTTATAATAAAATAGTATCACACAAACCCCCCACCTCTCATTCAAAGGTATACTTACTTTTGAGGCATTGGTTGATCTGTTTTTTCTGGAGGTTGTTGAGTCTTGATTCCTGCATCATTACTGATCCCAGGGAGAAACAGATTCACATTTTAAAGCAATCAGAGCCACACACCATTAATGAATGGACGGAAACACTATATGAAAGATATATCATGGACAACATGTCTTTCTCCTGATTTCGACCAAGTGGGCATATTACATATAACCTATACAGTCAGACTTGGGCTGACTTAATATAACAAGTGTGAGAATGTTATCCAATATATCATCACATCTAAAAATTGTACATAAATAAAGCAAATGTTATAAAATAAATCCTCTGGAAGAACCAGGCTGTGAAATGGATAACAAACATACTAAAACATGTTTTAGGTCTGCACAATGCTGAATCGACTTGTAGTTATGTCGATACCATGTATTTATTTTAAAGAACAAGCCTACATAAGTGCACTGTGCACACAGGCTTAAATACACTCAGACACACACGTCACCTCCTGTGTGTGTGCTTCCCTACACTAGAATATCAATATGTGCATCATCTCACGTCTCAGCAGGTCCTGGGTCTGCTTGCTGTACTGGGTCGCTCTGGGCTTGTTCCACAGTCCTCCATCTCTGCTCTGTGAGGAGGCCTCCATCTGTAACCTCAAACACACATAAATAACTGCTGTGGCTCAGTGGATAGGGTGCTGGTCTTCGAATCAGGGGGTAGCAAGTTCGAGTCCCACTGCAGTCAGCATGTCGTTGTGTCCCTGGGCAAGACACTTCACCCCAAATTGCTCCTGTGGGGATGTCAATTGCTTTGGATAAAAGCGTCTAACAAATGACATGTAATAACTTATCAGCACCCCTGGGGCTTCATTCAGCATTGTCTCTGTTCTGTTGAAAGCTGCATGTCAGATTTTGTGAACATGAACAATTCACTAAACAGGGTTTAGGGATGGTGCCTCAACTTCTTGACAAAATAAATAAATGGTAAATCATTTTAGCTACATATAGCATACTATGTTAGGAAGCAGCTAAGCTTTAAGAGGGATTTGGGCAGATTCTGGATCACAGCTGCAAGGTCAACATACAGATAAGGCGTGCTGGATGCATTATTTTTTCAAAAATAATTCCAAAATGTACAGAAATCATCTATAAAATGCTTAACTTTCTCTGAAATAGCACAATGCAGCTTACCTAGATTGTGTTGACATTAACAAGGGTTGGTGCACTTGCTAGGATACTAACTTTGACAGTTATATGCTAAGAGAGGGTGATAAATAAGTTTAGACTGTAAGAGTAGCATAAAATACACGATAATACTTAACAATAATACAAAATAACTCACTTTAAATAAGTTTTCTCCTGTAGCAAGTCCTAATGTCGGTCGTCCTCCGGGTTACAGACGGCAGTGTATGTATGTTGCCATAGCAACTAACAACAGCTTCAAGCTCTTCCGCTGGAGGTGCATAATGTTCGCATAAATAGACTAATAAAACACACATTTTATAAATAACTTTTTTCCTTTTCTTTTGGAATCACATTACATACTCAACTCGCTCAGTTTATTTAACAACAAAAGGATCCGAGTGATTATTATTTGTAGTAGGCTTATGTAGATAGGCCTATGTAGTTTTAACAAATGGCCACTAGATGGAGACAGACATAATTATGGTTGTGTTGATACTTCGATTGATAATGTGCAAAACTAATTATGAATTTGTTACAAACTAAAAACAATGTAAATAAATGTTTCAAAGCCAGAATTTAGAATGTACATAACATACAGCTCTGGAAAAAATGAAGAGACCACAGCAGCATTATCAGTTTCTCTGGTTTAACTATTTTTGGGCTATGTGTTTGAGTAAAATTAATGTTTTTTTTATTATATTCTATAAACAACAGACAACCTTTCTCTGTGTTGGAATTCAACAGACAATTGAATGGCTGTCATACATGTAGAGATTGAGATTTAAGAAACTCTGGCTTCTTAATTCACTTATATTAACTTTAAACGCTCTATATGCATAGCATCTATATTATTCCCAAATAAGCCCATAAGCATTTTAGGGTATATTTTTGTTTGATATTTATATATTCCTAAATTATTTAGGGTACGACCAGCCGTGGATTAAGTATTTTGCTTAAATATAAGTACAAATACCTACCACACTGTCAAAATAATACTCTGTTACAAGTAAAAGTCCTGCATTGAAAACCCAAAGTAAAATACACATAATCACTCAAATGTACTTTGAGTATTTAAAGAAAAACGAACTATTGTACTAATATATTATTAGATTGATTTTACTCGCGGATGAATGTAAAAGCTGTATTTATCTGTTGGTTTAGGTGGAGCTCATTTTAAGATATGCACAATGCAACCTTTTTTTTTTGTTAACACAATGCAACCTAATTATTATTTACAGTGGTGTAAAGTAAATAAGTACATTTACTCAAGTACTCTCTTTAAGTGCAATTTTATGGTACTTCTACTTTACTTGAGTAATTCCATTTTATGTTACTTTGTACTTCTATTCCACTACAAAACCGAGATAAATAGTATACTTTTACTCCACTACATTTGTGTAGAACCTTAAGTTACAGATATAGATTAATGATAAACAATATGATCAACACTTAAATAAGACTTTAGTTATACCTGTATTCAATTCACATGCTACTACAAATACAATATTGAAAACTTGTTCCACCTTTACACGCCTGATAAACACAGAATATATATACACAATATATGATTGTGAAATGGGCCAATATATCCGCAAAGATATCTGCATAATGAGTACTTTTACTTTTGGTACTTTAAGTATATTTAGATACAAATACTTTTGAACATTGGGTAACATTGTCAATACAGGACTTGTACTTGTAACAGAGTATTCCTACACTTAGGTATTTCTACTTTTACTGAAGTACAAGATCTGAGTGATTCTTCCACTTCTGATGATTATTTTAAACCATGAAACTATACAATTACTATCAAAAGACTTGTTCTCATAATCAGTTGGATTACTAGAGCAAGTTTTTTGATCAAACAACTACACAATATCTCTTCTTCTTTGATTGACTTTCTGTTTTAAACTTGTAGTTGGGAGTATGATAGTATCACAGGTGTTTGTAAGGACAACAAACTAACAAACAAACAATGTGTTCAGGTCATAGAGGGGCAGTGTGTAGAGCGTGTGCACTCGTCACTGTGAGGAGGGACGAGAGGCTCTTTATCAGCGTTGGCTCCTCATCAGGACTCAGCAGCCGTCAGGAGTTCATTATCTGTGAGGAGACAGCAGCCTGCTCTGCCTCGTGTCTGCTGATAAACAGCAGCCAGAACATAATCACCTTTCACACACAGGTCTTCTCAGAAGTCACAAATGCATGTCCTCACTGGGAGACAGGGAGCGACCCCCCCTTTCCCCCTTTTTTCTGTCTCATTTTATTTGAGTTTTTTAAAGCTATTTCACTCTTGCTATGAATTCATGTTTTTAAATCCTGTTTATCGCCTTTTGTATATTTTATTGCGGTTTTATGTCTTTTGTAAAGTGTTAAAAATCGTAATGTTGTTGAAAAGGTCAATAAATATAAATGAGCCTTGATGATGTCTGAGCCGGCAAAACCTTCTCTTGGCCAAGGTTTGACATAATGAATTGTGCTACTTTTAAAGCAAGCAACGATGTTTTCAAATCTGTAATCAAAAAGCTCCTCAAAAACGCTATCGAAGCAGTTCCTGCCGTTGCTACGTTAGTTCAAACAGTAACAACGGACTATTTTTCTTAGCGGATGCATTTCAATTTAAATCAATACAACTATTTTTTAAATCAATAAAATCATTTCAATTAATATTGGGAGTCATATCGTTACTTTGTTGAGAATGTGGCCATGTAATAAGCGGGATAATGTGCAGCGACTTGGTCATTATGGGGAAAAGAACACCTTCATGCCGATCTAGATCCCTCCGCTTCGCGTCGGGCTCCTGATCAGCCTGTCGGTGTTCTTTTCCCCATAATGACCGCGTCGCTGCACATTATCCCTTACTTAATCATTGGATATTATAATAAACTGTTAATGTGCCATTTTCCTATCGAGTCAGTCAGTCAGATCTCCTCTGGTTGTGTTGTTAAACATGACTGTAAATCTATTATTTGCTCAAAAAAGAGGAACATATTTAAATTGCCAACTGAAAAATAGATTGTGATCTGTATTGCATGTTTGTTCTCCTTGTCTATGGGCTCTACCAACATCTGTTTATTCCTATTTACTCATATTTGTATCTGGTTTTAAAACAGTAAGTAGCTTTGTATTGAAAGACCATGGACAATTATGTCATATAACTATGTTTCAATGTTTGAGGAGCTTGGGACTTTTCATTGCCAATTCTATACTGTAGCTATACTGTGCATATGACAATAAAGCCTTTGAATCTTGATTTTGACTTATTATAAAAGCCTGACACACTACATGTGAACACACACTTCCTGGTATGCACCAACACACTGTGCACTCAGTACCAAAGCATGCTTTATAAGATAGCAGCCAGACATCTGATAGCCGTGTTCACTTGTGAATAAAAAATAACATGGAGAGTATTACTCTGCAGTGTTAGTGGGTCATTTATCAGCAGGCTATAATACTGCTACCTCTTCTATTTTCTATCACTTGTTAGTAATAATTGCATTATCCTGATATATTTAGCTATTTTCTATCTTTAGAAATATAGGCCACTTGCTAATTTCTTTTTTAATAGAACACAATTAAAAGACAATTTGTTTATTGTATTTGAAATACAAAAGAGTTTTACACCTTGTCCTTGGGTTGTTTCATTTGGTGTTGGTTCAAGTGAGTGAGTGGAATGTGTCGGGATCTACGTCACATATACATTTGGTGTTGGTTCAAGTGAGTGAGTGGAACGTGTCGGGGTTCTACGTCACATATACATTTGGTGTTGGTTCAAGTGAGTGAGTGGAACGTGTCGGGATCTACATCACATATGCATTTGGTGTTGGTTCAAGTGAGTGGAACGTGTCAGGGTTCTACGTCACATATACGTTTGGTGTTGGTTCAAGTGAGTGAGTGGAACGTGTCGGGATCTACGTCACTTTAGCTGTTTTATACCTGCATTCTGGTCCAAATCAATCAATTTGTGTTATTTATACTTTCTCATATTGTATTTTTCAATATTGTCATTGGATGTATTTTCAGGCATCCACTCATCATTGAGATTTTGTGTTTATTTCACAAAAGTATTTTTCATCCTTATATTAATATTACATTTTCCTTTTTGACATTGCAGCCTTGTGTTTATATTACTTTTGCATTTGATTTGATTTGCAAATCAAAGGTTGAAGCTTATTTCTCTTTAATGAAGTAGTTGCCCATTGAAAGATACTGGGGAAATTAAGTACTTAAGCATTAAATGTTTTGTCTGGATAATAAATGATGCATTTCTGGTGGCAGCTCAGCGCTCATGAGTTTCTTGCTCTGAATCCCACAGAACAGGAAGACATTGAATGTGGTGAGAAAGTAAACATACAATCTTAAGGGAATAAAAAAAGGAGTCGAGCAGAGTAAGTCACACTTACGCTCCACCTCCTAACGGTCAAAACCTACATGAAAAAGAGAGATTTGAAGTGAGACGTGCAGCTGACAGAGATAGACAAGAGAGAGGAGAGAGAGATAGTGGGGGGGTAATGGAGAAAAGGAGGCAGCTTTAACATCCTCATTCTGGGCCCTTTAGCGGACTGTAACTGGGTCGGGCGGCCTGCTAAACTGGGCTTTGACTTTCTGTTAGCTGAGGATGGTCATGTGAAGAATAACAAGCAACAAAAAACTGTTCTCTGTGTTCCTACCTCTGACAATCGTCTGTATATCAAAGTGCTCGATGGCTGTCACGCAGGCTGCGCTCCCTTCCTTCAGCTCCTTCTCCAGCCTCGCTCAGTCCAGCGACAATGTGAAAGTAAGTATCGCCCGACTTCATCGTTTCAATCCTACACAGTGACAGAGAGAAAACAATTGATTTGGATATTCTCATGGCTTATATCATAATGTGTTTCACAGATAAAGGATTCATTATTTCACTTGATATTAACTAAAAGTTATCATGTTTAACTGAAGACTAAGGCTGGTTCAGTGCACTTGTTGGAAGTTGTTTGAGACAAAGGCATGCTGCTAATGTCATATGAAAAAAATGATTTGTGAAAAGTCACAAAGTTAATTTACTCAAGTACAAGTTTATTTTTGCGGTACTTGTACTTCTTACTATTTCACTACAAATTATGGAGACAAATATTGTATTTGTAACAATTCAATCCAGTGATATATTATATTTTACTTACCAAACAGCATTATAAGTACTTAGTTTTGGTGCTTTAGGTATATTTTGGTGCTAATGTACTTTTACTTAAGTAGCACTTTGAATTTTACTGTGGTATTATTATACTTAAGCTAAAGATCTAAATGCTTCTTCCACCGCAGCTCATTATCTGAAAAAAGCGTGAAAAGGGAAATGTTATGTCCCGTTTCAATACATTTATTAGATTATAATTCATTTCTCAAGTCTATCGGACATTATGAGTTATGGGTGACAGTGCTGTCCATCGTGGCCGCAAACATTTCCCTCCCTAAAGTGGTTACACTGGTAAGGGTGAACATCATCCAGACGACTCATTGAATTTGTGAAGTTACAGTCTTTAAGTCCAAATTTCCCACTCTATAATATTTCCGATGACAGTGTTTCCCTACTGAGCCACTGTGGAGGGATTCTAACACAAAGGTAGAATTTTGCACTGAAAAATGAAAATGTAGAAGATACTTGGTGAATGAGGGATTAACACAGACTCAAGTTAGCTACAACTGATCTTTCAACAACCAGGATGAGCAAAAGAAGCAAATACAGCACCCAGTAACTCTTTCAATGTACTCATACACATATGGGTGTGTCTATTAACTGTCATAACATAATATTTATTACAATTATATTTCAGTTACATTGAGTTCATAGAAAATAGTGACCTATTCTTCAAATGTAAAATCATGAGCAGGAATCTCCTTGTCACACTGGTTTCCCTGTTTCATCCTGACTTCTGCTCTCCAACATGCTCTAGGTGTGGAAGTCAGAGGGCGGCTCTCTCCCTCTGGACTCTCTCAGCAGCAAACTGTCACCCAGCGGCTCTGAACAGCTACAGGTCTCACAGCAAATAACTGAGGAGCTCCTGGGTGATGACAGCAGAGCATCCTGGGACATTGAGTTCCTGCTGTCTGAATGGAGCAGTCCATCTCCCGACCTCGACCCCTCTCTGGATAACAAGGATCAGGGACCATCACAGTCAGACCCTCACACAGAGTACCATGAGCAACCAGCACAGGAGCATGTGCAGGTGAACACAGGCTGCCTGATGGAGCTCCTGCCCCCTGCTGAGACCTTCCCCTCCGTCCAGCCGGAGCTGTATCACCATGGTTACAACGGCGACCAATCGGGTCGGTTTCATAGTCTACCTAACGTAGATCAGTTCGGCTTCCCTCAGGGAGGCAGTGTGGAGAGGCACAGCAGAGGAAATAAGGTCTCATCCTGGGACTTTAACCCTTATTACCCCCAGCAGCACCCCTCCATGGTGCCCCTCCCCGACAGAGGGTTCATCCCACATCAAGCCGTGACCCCTGACCCTCGACACTACAGCTACATGCCACACTTTAACCACAACCTCTTCTGTGACTACACCCACGGCCAGGCCTCCAGTCACCTGGCTCTCCACCAGCAGACCCTGCTGATGGGCCCCCAGCTGCCCCCTTGTGGGGAGGAGGTGAAGCGCTGTCGAAGGGCTGCGGGGAAAAAGAGGCCTGCCGTCCACTGCTGCAACTACCCCAACTGCAGCAAGACCTACACCAAGAGCTCACACCTCAAGGCTCACCTGCGCACACACACAGGTAAGCCCCATTGAAAAATATATTAGTCTTTAAGGTCACCTATTGTGCTATTTTTAGGCATATATTATAGGTCTCAGACATATAACAATATATAAAAAACATGTTGTTTTGCAAAAAAAATAAAAAATAGATCACCCATTCTAGTCATGCCTCATATCTATTTCAGCCCTGTTTTAATGCCTGCTCAGAAGTCTACCCAGATACTCAGCTAAATGCTGCCGTGATGAAACGCCATAACATGTTCTTCGTTTTTAGAGATTTGGGTACGGAGGAAAAGAGAGAGGGTTTTGTTTTTGAGTTCCCTTACACACCGGGGACACATATTTATGTATAAAAGACATACAAAAGTGCATTTTGCATGATAGGAGAACTTAAATATGTGACTCAGTGATTTATCTTCGGTTGTATTGTTTACTCTTCAGGGGAAAAGCCGTACCAGTGTTCCTGGGAAGGCTGCAGCTGGAAATTTGCCCGCTCAGACGAGCTGACGCGTCACTACCGCAAGCACACGGGACAAAAACCCTACGAGTGCCTGCTGTGTCAGAGGGCCTTCTCCCGCTCCGACCACCTGGCTCTGCACATGAAGAGACACATCTGATGCTCACACACACACAGAAATGAACAGGAATCATTTTTGATATTGGTTATTTGTTCAAGTTTTTTTCTATGACCCAAATCAGTACACTGATCAGCAGAATTTGGGCGTCAGCGACCTAAGAAATCAACTGAAAATGTTCGAAATATTACCTTGAAATCTGCACTTGATCATCTGGCATCATAGTGAACTCACAGTGATAATTAAGGCATAAATAATACAACACTTTGGAGTAGATTAAGACTTTCTCAGTAAGATGTTAGGACTCAAATGTAAAAAGAGATTAGGTTGTTCTCTCTTTGACCTAAATCAAAATAGCAATAAAGTTATAAAATCAGTATTCTTTATAAGAGCCAGTTAGATGAACACTGTACACTGTGGGCATGTATACAGAAAACATTAACACTAACAAAACACCGACCTACAAAAATAAATATATATTTATTTGTGTGTACTACGGATTATAAAACATTACACAGTTGTAGTATCTCATGGCACGCTGAACAGAGTCATGACTGCTTAATGCTTCGCTGTATTTCTGCTTTTATGATATCTTAGTCTGATTTCCATTTAGAGGTTTAGTTAATAGTAATCCTGCTTGTAATTCATACAAAACCAGACCATAAAACATATTTTAAACTATGTGATGACAGTAAATGGAGAGCTATGCATTTTTGTCGCCTTCCTTTATGTTTGTCTGTTTGGGGATTATTAATTTAAAAAGAACATATGCTTTTGTCTCTCGCATCAAGCAGCATTTAAAACTGTAAATAACCTGCATTTTTCGCTCAGTTGTTTATTTTCATCTAAAATTAAAAGCAACATATTTATTTACATAATCTTTTTTTATCAACAGAAAATATATTATTGTACAGTGTTTTCTATCCTCAAAAGAGTGCTTTAAGGTCTTTTCATTGTTGTTTTCATTTTCAAAATTCTAATAAAGACCACTAATGCTGTCTCTACATTTGACATGATTTTTTTCCTTCCCTGTAGTTGGTTATATCGATTTCTTTCATGTAAATGGTCTGCAAAGGCTAAAATCTCAAAGTTGTTTCTCTCCCACACACCCCCCCTGCCTGAAACGCCTCCATTGGACTCTTTGGTTTACTACTGTAACATAATGACATCACTATGTTACCCTTGCTTCTATTGGCTATCGATCCAACACATTATAGATGATAGGCTAAGGTGGGGGACATTTCCAAGCAGTTGACCAATCACAACAGAGCCGGCCAGCTAACCAATCAGAGCAGACTGGGCTCTGGTTTCAGACAGAGGGTAAAAAGAGGTAGGCAGTATGAGAAAAATAAAGAGCTTTTTGGACATTAAAGCATGGAGACATGTCACAGTAGAGACACTAAATACAAATATGAAAATGTGCGTAATAGGGTCCCTTTAGGCAGCTGACTTTAACACAAGTTATATCATAAGTGTTGTAAGTGCGTTACTATAAGATACATCTGCCCTGTATAAAGCAGAATAAAAAAGTGTTTACAGAATACATAAGAGCTTAGGCATTTCATGAGTCATCCTCACAAGTAATGTCAGAACTTGACCTGTAGGTGGCAGTCTGTGGCAGTTGTTTCAATTCTGGGTGAGGGTTGTGCTAGGAAAGAAAATCTTCTTATGTAACTCAGCACTCACGGAATCCTCCTGATTATGTCAGATGATGGAGTTTGTGATCACATTACAGAGCTCCTCTCTCTCTGTCTCTGTTGCATACCCTTGCACAGATAGTAGACCCTGAGGAAAGACAAACAGAGAAAAGCAAACACCATTACACACTCATTTACCAACATTTGTGAAACATACTTATACACACAGACCAACAGAACGTAACTTGCTTGTGCTACAAGCACCAAAGGGGATTTTGTTTGAGTTTATTAACATCTGGCTTTATTCAAGTGAAAAATCACCCTCAACATCTCACATTACAATGTTCCCAGTGTTTTGGTATAACACCATTAAAATACAATCAAACAGGTAAATAACACCTACAAAAGGAAGCTGTTTTATGGGGTTCAGAGTTCCCTTTTGTGTACATCAGAGATTCCAGGTAAACAAGAACAAGGGGAATCTGTTTGTAATATATCGGCTTTAACCGGTTAAGCCCCGAGCCTGTTTTTCAGGTTTCAGGCTCGAAAATGACATGCCCAAAACAAATGACTACAACTTCACTTCTAAAAGGGTTATATGAATAATTTCTTTTATCAAAGCAAGGTTACATCTGTGAGTTGGATGTAGAAGTGTCAGAATCAATATAGATTTTTCTCAGTCAGAGTAAATTCAGATGGAACATAGTAAAAAAAGGTAAATTCTTACCTCCGCCTAAAGAAAAAACATTACTTATAGTGAAAACCACCCTTGAATGATGGGATAGTAGACTAAAAGCTTTAGGAATCCAAACTATAACATATAATAAGTACCCTGTATCAAGATTGAGGCAAAACAAGTTAAATTTGACCTTTTTAGAGAGGTTTAGCAAAATGGTTCCAGGCGGAATAAGCTTTCGGCACATTTGGGTACATCTGGTTCCATCAGTGCCATTTGACCTTTTTCAGGTACCAGACTATGAAAATGATGTATTACATTGAATTATCACCATAGGTATTCATTCCATCCAAAGAATTTTTTTTTAAATAAAAACAATTAATTACAAATTTAAAATGTTTAAAAAAAAAGACCCGCTGACGGGGGCTTTGGGGCTTAACAGGGCCCTCCACTGATTTCACCTTACCATGTTACCCATCATGAAGAGCTGCTCAGCCTCTTAAATCAGTTCTAAAATCTCCATTAAATTGCTGTTATCAGATGTTATCACTACCATTATAATGCCTCCGACAGGGCGAACTGTGTCTGCCCGTACGTTGCAAATTGGTCACAGTTTTTTGGTCATGTGGTTTGGTTGGGTATGGAAACAAAACTACTTGTAAGGTTAAGGGAAATACTGTGGTTTGGTTTCAAGAAAGTATGTTTGTAACGGTAATAAAGTTATATATATAAGTAAGGGTTAAACTGAAGAGACATAGGAGGAGAGCAGGGTCCAGATTTATGGAGGAAATTAGATATAAGTCGCGTCTCCCCCCTCTCATCATGCGAAACGTAAGATCATGGCTAATAATGGATGACACAACGTTGTTAGCTAGGAGTTGGACGGAATATCTGGACTGTAGTTTAATGTGCTTTACAAAGATGTGGCTGCACCAGGACATATCTGATGACGTTTCCATCGATGGCTTCTGGACTCAGGGGTGCCCAATACGTCGATCGCGATCGACCGGTCGTTTTAAAAAAAAAAGTTAGCCTATCATCCATCCTTACTATGGCATTTGCCACTTGATTGACGTACAGGTAAGCCAGTCTGAGTTGTATTGTGCCATACGGGTTCATGCAGTTATGAGGGGGCCTCACCTCCTCATCTGAAGCACAAATGCGGCGCACTATTATGCGCTTATGCGGCGCAATTATTGTAAGCGCGCCACAGTTTATCCGCCGTTTAGTCCACTAGCACCCCCCTCCCGCGCTCGCGACACAGATTGGGCAGATCTGTAGGTAGATCATTTTGGCTTGGTCATTTTAAAAGTAGCTCCCAAGCTGAAAAAGTGTGGGCACCCCTGGTTTAGGCAATGCTTCTAATAAAGATTCCATTAACAACTTTTCCTCTGTTGGCCTCCGGACCTTTTTGGCCAACAGGTGTTGCATTGAGAGCTTCACCATGTCTTCTCCATGAGTCTTTAGAGGGTCACTGTGCTAATGAGGACCCATGTCTTGCTTCTGTGCCTAAGACATTACGACCCACATACTCTACAGCGGTCTCCTGTGTTTTTAACCCATCTTTCCACCAAGAATTTGTGCCTTCATGGACTGCATTGACTGTGTTTTTTATATCAGTATCTATACCACGGCATCAGACTTCCTCCTTGTCATAATTACAACAGCCAGAGGTTGCCGCCTAACAATTTTTAACCTCTGTGCGGTGATTTCGCTTATCAATACATGATAATGGCCCAATAAGCCAATACAGGAGGTAGAGTAGTGCCATCAACCTTAAATCTATGCTTCAGATTACAACTGATAATGGCCATTTAACGGGTCGATAACATTTGAATCTCTCTGAGGTAGATTTTCAAAGTTTGTTGTCTGCTGTATGAGGTCTTGTAAGTCCACCAAGTTTATGGAAATGTATCACTGAACTTCTGAAGTGCCCTTTAACTATCTCTTACAGATAAAGGGCAATAGATTTTAAATAGGTGTAGAGTTTAATAGGATCCATTGGTTTATTGTTACTTGGCCCGTCAGACAGGTACAAACACACTGGTGCAGAGGTGTGGTGTTAATCTTTATTTGGAACAGCAATGAGCTCCAGTTTCCTCTTTGGAGCACTATCAAGGCTATGATTGGCTTAAACCTGCTCATCCAAGATGGCATGATAGCCCAAATGAGCTGACACTCAGCACGCACTTCTCCAACGCATTAGTGCCTTACTAACAGCCAAATACACACACATTAATGAATCCTGATAATTATAGTGTTACAAATATACTTCTTGGTCATGTATAGCTGGTTATCCACTGAGACTGTGCTCCCATAAAGATGTGGCAGAGTTACACATAAGCAGATAAATCCGCAACAGTTTAATAGGTTAGGGATGGTTTTGAGGCTCCATCTGTAACATGAGGTTATTGTAGCGCAGCGTTCTAAGGGTAATTGATTCTGAGATGTAGGGTTTGAATGAGGACACTGTTCTGCCCTGTAGTGCCCTGAAAAGAACAAACAAACTCTCGCACAAATCCCCCTTTGTACTTCTAATTCATCATTCCCTGTTTACGTAATGTTATACTTTGAGTGAGGGTATTCGGCACGCATTATTCATTAGGGGAAATATTCAAGCCTTTGATAAACAAGGGCTGAAGCATGAACAAAACATGAAGTATTACATATTTTTGACTTTTCCTATTTCGTCTAAGCAGCTAAACAGATTAAAGTTGGAAAATGGCAAAGGCAGTACAAACGTGCAGATTTGCACGTTTCTTCTCTGTAAACCCCCACTGCAAGCGAAGAGTATTAATAAATATGGATCATTAAACCCAGTTAATATGATAGTTTTCCATGAAAGAAAGCATCATATTCTCTACTTCCGTACTGTACCAACCGCTTATTAAGATGCTGAGGGAAGGTTTACTGGGGACAGATTTACTGTAATTAAATTCCCTCTATCTCTTCTTTTTCCTCTGTGGAGATATGGAGAGAATTCCATTTTTGTTTCTGGCTTTTGACGACAATCTGTCCACATTATAGGGAAAACACATTAAACTCTTAAAAAACGAAGTTGTATTATTGCATACACAGATAAATGTCCCCTCTGTGGGACTAATAAAGGTATTCTGATTAACCATTTGACATCAAGACGCGACATTAAAACTGCAGCTTTTATGGATTTTAATACCAAAAACTAATCAAGTCATTTGAAACCATTGGACTCTCTTCAAGCATTGTATTGTTTTCTTTCCTGCACAGACACACTGTAAAACTCAGAGAAGAGTGACACTGTGAACCCAGCAGAACAGTGTTACTGAAAAGAAGCGGAGACATATTTCAGTCACATAGAAACCCACATTCAGATACCATTTGTGGAGCATTATATTTCATTTCATTTCAAACCTTTATTTAACTAGATTGGTCCCATTGAGATCATAGATCTCTTTTTCTGTCCATCCAGAAATTGCATTATAAGCCCCTGCGACCTCAGGACAGCACTGCCATCCATCAAACTGAGGAACTGGGTTAGATTTTCTAAATGCAGATAAATATTTATCTATTTATCTGCATAAAAAATGTCCGTTCTGCTAATGAATTGTAACTTTGTATGGCTGTGTGTAGTTCATTACCGTACTGTGTGTTTTGCAATTACGCAACCTCCCAAAATGTGAATCTTGGCCTGATGTCCTAAAGCAGGATGAGGATTAAAG